TTCAACGATAATTATGATAATGACGCGATTGTGATGATGGTTATGACGTCATCAAGATGATGGTTATTGCAGTTATTAGATGGTTATTACATCCGGTGGTTATGACGTCATTGTGATGGTGGTGACGATGTTGACGATGATGATGTGATGTGAAATGATATGTGGGATAAAGAATAACGATAAAAATATCAAAATATGATGATAAAAATGTGACAACATTAATGTTGTTAAAATATGAGATAACGTTGATAATAACGGTTGCACTGGGGAAACGACGTCACCATTCCATCCCTAACTAACCGTCCTAATCTCGATCATCCTCCAGACGTCTTCGGACTCAGATATACTGCGACCTCTCACTTTCTCTCTCATCATGTTATACATACTCAACATGTAGTTTAGCATTAACTGGATTTTCAATGATAACAATGGATGGCCCTATATAAACGTAGATAGACAGTAAGTTACTATGTAGTATAATGTAATAGTATAGAAGAGGTAAACATTATAAAAGATAATCAAATCATGTATTATATTATTTATTTTTTAATTTTTATTTTATTAAAATATTTATTTTATTTATTTATTTATCAAAACTGACCAGAGGGCCACAACGGACCACTTACCCAATCAGGAAGAAAAAAAGAAATGTTATAAAGCTAGGCAATTTGCAGACAGATAAAAAAGTCAACACAAAAAAAAAACAAAAAAGAGAACATTAAACAGAAAGTTCCATAGTTATTCCTAACATCGTCATTGATACATAGATCGAAAAATAAGTAATTTTTAAAATTTTTAAATTTTCAAAATTACTTTTAATAAGTAAAAAATATAAAATTGCCAAATTAAATCCAAAAAGCACTAACTCCTTTCATGGAGAACTTCTCGTTAGTGAACCTCTTCAATAAAACTATGACATCATCGTTAATCCTCTCAACGTTTCTGCCTATTTTCTTAAGGATCTCAATGCAGGCTGTTTTGTCATCATCAGAGATATCCTTTTTGTTTTTTTGTTTTAATAATTTAATATCAAATCTAAAAGTTAAATCAGAAAAATATTATTTTTGAATAAATTTTCAGGTAAAAATAAAAAATTAACTCACCATTTTTTAGAAAATAACTAAAAATCATTTACCGAAATAACACGTTTAAAACGAACGATAGTATATAGACGTTGTTTACTTTTAAATTTTTTGTCAACAAAGATAACTAAACAAAACTAAAACAGTGTAAAGTTCTTTGGAATGTAAAAGTAATATATACTAATATATATGAAAAGCAATTATACAAAAAACACATAAATACAATAATTATATGTGCATGTATGTATGTATGCATGTATGTGCATATATTTTTTCATATGTGAGATACACGTGTTTGTATATGTAGGTATGTGTGTTTATATCTTTGTATGTACGTGTGTTTATATGTATTTGAATATATAAGTATGTGTGTGTGTGTGGTGTGTGTGTTTGTGCGCCTTTGTCCGTTATGACATTGACATTATAATGTTAAAGTGGATAGTTCTATCATTTTATTACGTATGAATCAATTGTTTTATATAAAAACAGTTAGAAAATCAATCAATCAATCAGCCAGCCAGCCAGTCAATCAGTCAGTCAGTCAGTCAGTCAGTCAGTCAGTCAGTCAGTCAGTCAGTCAGTCAGTCAGTCAGTCAGTCAGTCAGTCAGTCAGTCAGTCAGTCAGTCAGTCAGTCAGTCAGTCAGTCAGTCAGTCAGTCAGTCAGTCAGTCAGTCAGTCAGTCAGTCAGTCAGTCAGTCAGTCAGTCAGCCAGCCAGCCAGCCAGCCAGCCAGCCAGCCAACCAATCATTATATTATTTATATTGTAAATCTCATCTATGAATCCTCAATGTTTAAATGTTTGTTACGGATTCATTCAAAT